AGCGTAAGGACTTACGTTCAATTAATTAGCCAGTTTTGAAAGCATGGCCCCTGATTATTTTCCGCGCATAAAGACGTTTTAGAATGCTGGTTGCGAAAACTGCCAAGTATTCTCTTTAAAATCTCAAGCTCCTATAGTTTAATCTTCAATGCATTGAATGTTAATATTACTGAGGATATAAACTGCATAGAAATCTTGTAGGTTCAGTTCATGAACCAAGTTTCTCCGTTAAATCTGCACAGGAACCCTTGATTTTGAAGTGAAGTTCCTGACGCCAGAAGAATGTGTACACATAGCGTGCGGGATGTATTCTAAGCTGAAGATTCCAACTCAGTTCAGACGCACTGAGTTCTACTCATTCTACATGGAGCTCTTCGCTCAAGCTCAATGTGAGTCTTGCACGTAAGGTATTACATAAATTCAACTGCCTGTGTAACCCAACATTTAATACAGAATTTTTTTCAATCATCGAAGCAATGAAACAAAGTTTTCTCCAGCCTTTTAGAAAGATGTCAACCGCGGTAACGTATTTTCCTAAGTGGGGAAAACGATTATAAAGAGAGGAGTCAATTATTTACCCAAGCATCTATTCCGACGACTATCAAAGCTGGGCGATAAACGTTATGGAATAATATAAGGAAATGAACGGAATAATTTAAAAGTTTGGCTTTAACGACCAAGTTTTTTCATTTGGAATTTCCACGATCCTTTTTCTACGACATTTTCCATACTGACTCGAGACTTCGTTAACTTGGTCGCCGTAGATAACCAAAAAGGATTTATGTTCAATTGTACCAAGCAGTTCATGCGTACGTTGTGGCACGTACGTTTTTTCTTGTGTAAGTTAGGGCTATGGAAAAACCTACCAAATAAAATTTACTGAATAATAGAGTTTACGAAAAAAATATTCTATTATTGTTTCAGCAGTGCTTCGCACAGAAATTTTGCGTAGGATATGGCTTACGATATTTAAATAATGTGTTGTCACTGTAAATTAACTGTATTTACCTTGCTAATTTAATTAAGAAACCTTGCTTTCTTGCCTGTGGGACCATGCTAATTAACATTTTTGTTATATTCTAATTTCCAGTGCTAAGGAAGATGCCGAAAAAAACCTACCGGGAAAACATTCAATACGTCGACTTCCTAATCTCATCGGGCCGCAGCCTTGAGAAGAAGCTAGCAGGACGGGACCCGATGTTGTTAGGAGACCTGCTGGTGGCAACGCGTCTTCTGTTGTCGGACTTGTGCCGACGCAAGGCGCAACTAACGACCATGGATCCTGACAATTACGTGCATTGTCCAGCACAGCAAGGAGATGTGCTGGAGAGAAGCGAAGAGGCACAAGTCAAGCTTCATCAGCTTCATGAAATGGTAACCAGATTTTTAGTTTTTTTTATTTCAAATTACGTGCATTTTCCGGCACAGCAAGGAGATGTGCTGGAGAGAAGCGAAGACGCACAAGTCAAGCTTCATCAGCTTCATGAAATGGTAACTAGGTTTAGATTTAGATTTTTTTTAATTGCAAATTACGTGCATTTTCCGGCACAGCAAAGAGATGTGCTGGAGAGAAGCGAAGAGGCACAAGTCATGCTTCATCAGCTTCATGAAATGGTAACTAGATTTTTAGTTTTTTTTTTCAACGTGCATTGTCCAGCACAGCAAGGAGCTGTGCTGGACAGAAGCCAAGAGGCACGGTCAAATTTCACCAGCTTCATGAAATGGTAACTAGATTTAGATTTTTTCAATGAGAGCAATCAATTGAGTAATTTAGAATAGTTTTTTGAGAACAATTTTTTGAGTAATAGAATGACTAACTTTTTGTGTTACTATTAACTTTTCAGGCCCAGTCGCACCTGAGTAGACGTGTCGTGTCAGTTGCCATAGAGTCAGGTCAATTGCCATTAATTGAGTCGTGTCGGTTGCCATTGAGTCGTGTCAGTTGCCATTCAGGGTCGTGTCAGTTGCCATTCAGGGTCGTGTCAGTTGCCATTCAGGATCGTGTCAGTTGCCATTCAGG